TTGATACATATTCAAAACCATTCCTTACTCATTTCATCTTTTCAATGCCCATCAAGAATTCACAGGAACAAGCTTTTGACAGAAACTGTTTATACCTTCCAAAACATGCATTTAGACCCCCAAAACAATATTTGTTCTTAAGAGTTTATTAGTTTCATTATTTATCAGAAAAGAATGAGATAATTGTCTTTGCTATAAAATTTGTGAAAATAAAATGCAATTAAATGTCATTAATAATGTAGTGGATTGAATTATGTACCCGTCAAACTTACTGAAGCTTAAATTGTGTCCCCCAAGTTTTATGTATTAGAAACTTGGCCTTCACTATGACTGTTAAGAGGGTGGGAAATCCTATTATGGTAATTGAAAGGTGGAGTCTTGAAGAGGTGATTAAATTGTAGTACCATGCTGTAGTGAATGGATTAAAAACGGTGGTCAGGGGCATAGTTCTGAGGGCTTTAAAAAAAGAGAATGAATGAGGAAGTTACTCTCTTGCTCTCTCTGCTTCCACAATCTAGCAATATGAGACTGGGTAACTGTTGCCACCACCAGATGGACTTCGGACTTCCCAGCCTCACAAATTGTAAGCAATAAGTTTTATTTTCTTTCTTATAAGGTACCCAGTTCCAGGTATTTTGTTATAAGCAACAGAAATGGACTAATACAAATAACAAATTAAAATCTGCTAGAATCACATCCATTATATGGGGTTTGGCCAGCAATCATTCACAAATTTCCTTTGAGACTAGATGCAAGAATGAACACTCTCTGGAAGAAAATGAAGAGAGAGGTGTGGAAGCAAGTAAACAAAGAAAGCAGAATGGTGCTGAAAGTATATTAGCTTAATTGGAGAGAAGATTGAAGATATTCCTGAAGGGAAATTACAATAACCATTGTTAGGAAATAACCCAAAAATGTCAAAGGTAGAAGGCCTGATTTAAGCCTTCTCTTGTCCTTTAGGGGGAGAAAAATGCTATGGAAATTCAATAAACATTCCAAAAAAGAAATTGGTTAAATAAATTACGGTGCAAGGCAATAACGTGGAGTACTATTTTGCCATTAAAAAATCATAATTTAGAAAAATGTTTATAGTCTATTGTTAAGAGTAAAAAGCAGATTATAAAACCATATGTAAAATATCCCAAGTTTTAAAAATCTAAATGCATAGAAAAACTTCAAATGTACAAAACAGTTTATGGGATAATAATGGATGATTTAAATTCTCTTCTCATGCTTTTTTAAATTTTCCAAATTTCCTACAATGAATAAGTATCTTTGTAAACAAAACAAAGCAAAAAAATTAGAAGATGCTAAAAGGCTGGTGAACCTTAAAGCCCAGAGAATGCAATCAAAGCAGTTTCATCTAGTTCTTTAGTCAGAAGCTAAAGGCCTCTGTTTGTAGTTCTGCAGGGGACAGGAAGGGTGTTGGTTCGGTTTGGTTTGATTATTGTAAAACCAATATGGAGAAAAAAAGTTTAAAAAGGTCTGGTTAGAAACCCACATACAAAATATTAATATATTATTATTATTTTGATTTTTTATTATTATTATTTTTTTACGATGACGGGTAAGGGGATCTTAACCCTTGTCTTGGTGTTGTCAGCACCACACTCAGCCAGTGAGCGAACCAGCCATCCCTATATAGGATCCGAACCCGTGGCCTTGGTGTTATCAGCACCGCACTCTCCCGAGTGAGCCACAAGCCAGCCCTCAAAATATTAATATATTATTATTATTATTTTTTTTTTTTTTTGTCTCCTTTACTGACTGGTAACGGGATCACAACCCTCGGTGTCGCGCCCGTACCGGGGACCGGCAACAGGATCGCAACCCTCGGTGGTGGGACCGCGCTCAGCCAGTGAGTGGGAACTGGTCTCCACATGGGATCCGAACCCTCGGCGGGAGACCTCCGCGCTCCCAAGTGGCACACTCTCCAGTGCACCACCGGGCCGGCCCTTAATATATTATTAAATTGGCAAAAAAGCTAGAGCCAATACTCAAAAAGATGTGGCAAAATATTATACATATTCTTAATACTATATTCTCTCTATATATTTTTTATTCTTATATCTATGTTCTTAGTGGTGATGCATTTTAGCACAACCCTTTTTGAAAGCAATTAGGTGATATAAAGAACCCTAAAATTTTCATGTTCAAAGTGGTACAACCCCTGTGGAAAATACTTTGGCAGTCTCCTATAAAACTAAGCATATAACTATGACACAACCCAACAATTGCACTCATGGGCAATTGTCCCAGAGAAATAAAACATAACGTTTACACAAAAACCTGTACATGTATGTTCGCAGCAGCTATTATTCATAATAGCCAAAACGGGAAACAAACCAGATGTCCTTCAAAGGGTAAATGGTTAAACCAACCATGGATATTCAGCAATAAAAAGGAACAAAGTATTGATACACACAACAGCTTAAATAAATTCCAGGGAATTATGCTGAGTAAAAAAAGCAATCCCAAGAAGTCACATACTGTATCATTCCATTTATATAACAATTTTGATAACAAAATTATAGAAATGGAGAACAGATTAGTGGTAGGAGGAGGGGATGGAGGGAGGTGTGCCTATACAAGGACAACTAGAGGGATCCTCCTGGTGATGGAAATGTCTTGCGTCTTAACTGTTTCAATGTCAATATTATGGTTGTGATGTTGTAGTATAGTTTTGCAGGATAGTACTATCGAGGAAGCTGAATAAACAGTACTTGGGATCTCTCTGCGTTACTTCTTACAACTGCACGGTTGTCTACAATAATCTCAAAATAAAAAAATTTATTTTTTAGAAAAAAGTACATATTCTTTTGGCGAGTTATTCCAGGTCCGGAAATCTGCCCTAGGGATATAATCCAAAAGAAGAAAAAATGTTGAATACACCAGATGTTCAGCACAGTGTTATTTACAACAGGGAAAGGAAATGATCTAAATTGTCCACACTGGGAAAGAGGTAGATCACGATATAGCCACCCCAAAATTACGCAGTCATTTGATGCAGCAACAAACAGACTAGAAAATGTGGTACAATAAGGTAGTTGTGGAGACTGGATATATTACAAAAATTTTANTGTTGAATACACCAGATGTTCAGCACAGTGTTATTTACAACAGGGAAAGGAAATGATCTAAATTGTCCACACTGGGAAAGAGGTAGATCACGATATAGCCACCCCAAAATTACGCAGTCATTTGATGCAGCAACAAACAGACTAGAAAATGTGGTACAATAAGGTAGTTGTGGAGACTGGATATATTACAAAAATTTTAATAGTAGTACTCTACGTGGAACTCTAGCAGAAATGGTTTCCTTTCCTCGACACCTTGGTAATATTATCACAAGGTTTTTAATGAGTTGGGTGGGGGGAGGATAACATTAAAGGACATCTTTTATGTTAAATTACAAACGTCGGAGTTAACAAAGTTCTCTAAGTGCGTTCCTCCATTAATAGAGCAAACTTCGTTTCCAGATTCCTCCCAGGCTTTGACCAAGAGCGCACGCACTCGAGGGCCCGCACGGACGTGAGTCCAAGGCGGGTGCGATCAGGCGGCACCGCTTGGTCCGCTGCCGCTGCTCCAGGGCTGCCCCCAGGGTCCGACTCCAGGACCCCGCCAGGAGTCCAGGGAAGGGGGCGAGGACGTTGCCCCGAGGTACAGTGACCACTCCAAGGTCACCGTGGAGAGCCCGCAGCCGGGGCTCAGCCTGGCCCAGGGCTCCCCGATTCTGAGTCCGCGTCTCGCTCTTTGCCCCGCGACCCTTGCCCCATCCCCAGCCGCGACCCTACTGCTCTCCCAGGCTCCGCCGCGGCGCATCCGCACACTGCAGCGTGGCTGAAGCCCCTGACCACGCTCGGCGCCTCCACCCCCCGCCCGGGGCCAAGGTCCCCGAGCGCCGCACCGTAGCGTAGCCCAGACCGACCCCCTCATCCTTTTTCGCCCTCTCAACCCAGCTTTTCCCGACTCCGGGAAGAACCGGGAAGAGAAGGCGGAGTGGAGTGAGGCGCCGCCTGATATATACTGTGGCCCAGCCCCACCCCCACAACGTCACTTCCGCCCCACGGCAAGATGGCGGCGCCAGGCCCTGCCACGCAGACTTCCGCCCGGCGCGGAGACCGGAGACCGGGGACCGGCGGCGG